TGGGAAAAAAAGAACTAGAAATGCTATTAACTGCAGCAGGTTAAAGAATACAGAATCCTCTCCTCCACCCAGCATGGGAAGGAACATCACCAGGTTCAAGGTCAAGGTCTTAGGAAACTTACAGATGAAAGTCGGGGTTGCCTAAGCAGGAATGTGCATCAGGCTGTCGGAGCTCTGCAGGGGCAGCAGACACAGCCAGAAGGTCATGGAATAGTACAAAATGCCGGGAGAAAATGACCATCTTCTGCATTCCCACTGGACGGCCACTCACGAATAGGGGTGAAATTTTCAGAGAAAACTTGAAAGGCATTCAACACTAAAAGTTCTGTGCTAAAGGGCTTATTGAAGAATATACTGTAGTGGCCCCCCATTTCTCCACAGAAAAGTCTTAGCTGGGCTTCTCCAGAAACCCTCACCATGGCTGATTTTAGGACTATCGGCAAAAGAGTCTCCACAAAAGAGTTCAATGTAGATAAACTCCCTGTTTTCCTGTTGCCCTGTTTTACTTGGCCACTGGCCGGGAAGAAATCAGCACTCCAGGTGCTGGACACCCCCTTACTAGTTTTTCACAAACATGTATCCAGTAGAGTAGTTTGTAGAAATGTGCAAACAAGGCCTCTGGCCTTGAGCTGGGCTTCACAGAGATGTCTACATTTCTAAGATAAGAGAAGTGACCAACTGGGCTCCATGGTCACAGCTGGCAGGGGAGGAAAGAAAGGGGAGAAGAAGCTCTCCCCTTCTCAGGTTTTATCCTTGAAGGGTTAACTTGCCCAGAACAGTGAAAGAAAAGGTGCTTTTATGTGAACTTCTGCAGACTGTGAACTTCTGAGCCCCTCCCCTTCCATGCTGGGTATAAAACTCTGAAACTCCCTGAACTCAGGGTTTAGGGGATTAACTGATTACAGCAAAAGGTGTGCCCTCTGAGCCTGGCTGCAGCCAAATAAATGTTTCCCACTATCTTTGGTGCCCTACCTTGTCTGTCCCTACAACAATACTTCAAAAGAAAGCACCCCCCCCCCCGCCCGCAAAAATAAGCAGTGAGTTAAATTTGAATAGATTTTTGAATACAAAACAAAGACTAATTGGAGAAAATAAAGGGGAGTGTAGGAAGGTTCTGATGCAGCCGTGTGTAAGGTGGGAAGGGATGGGCAGAATTCAGATGGGCGGGCATTTTGTTATGAGAAGACGGTACTGATTGATTTTGGAATTTATGAAAGCAAGTTTGCATATTAAAATACTTAAAGGTGATCGCTTAAGAAGAGAAATGGCTTCCAAATCAGTAGAGAAAGCATCATGAAGTGAATCGGTCAGTAAAAATGGATGCAAGGAAGAAAAAAAGGACCAGGGGAAAATCAGGTTACGTGTAAAGTATTTCATAAGATGCCTGAAATAAATCTAAATATAGTTGAATTCTGAGAATAAGCAAAATTAAACTCTCAATTAGCAAGACAGAATGTTAGTCTTATTGGATTGGAAAAAACCTAACTATATGTATTTTTAAAAAAAGAGACACGTTTAGAATATAAGGATGAATAAATATTAAATGTTGAAAGTATGGAAAATTCCAGCAAAAATATTAGCCCAAAGAAAGTGTCCTGGTTACATTGAGAAGAGACAGGATTGTTTTTGGAGCAAAAAGGAATATTGAGGGAAAATAAGTCACTAAATGAAGATAAAACGAAACAAGGCTCTGGAATGATACAATTTATAGGCTCCTAAAGAGCATTAAATTATATGAAGTCAAAAATTGACAGAATTTCAAAATAAATAGACAATTACATAGTCACAGAGAGAGAACTGAACACGTCCCTTTTAGTAAATGACACCCACATTGGAGAAAGGAAAGGACACGGAGAATCTCATGACACAGGAGCAACCTGGTCAACTAGACCTGGGTAGAGAAGACACCTGTTTTCCAAGAGCACATGACACACCAAAGATCACACAGAGACACGACACAACTCCTGATACGTAACAGAGGATCGAACAGACGAGGTCCCCAGGGTTCCCAGCTGTTAGACACCAGCAGCCACAATTGAAACCAAACCATAAACTTGGAAAAAAACTTTTGTATTTTCTTTGTGGTACTGAGATTGAACCCAGGGGTGCTTAACCCCCGAGTCACATCCCCAGTTCTTTTTTTTTTAATATTTTATTTAGAGACAGGGGCCTCCCTAAGTTGCTGAGGTTGCCTCAGCCTCCCGAGCCCCTGGGGTTACAGGTGTGCACCACCATGCCTGGCCTTTTGTAACTTAAAGAAATATCTAACACTGAGTTTGAGAACACAATAGAAAAGAACATTAATAAACATCACTAAAATGAATAGTAATAAAAAGTAAATATCTATTTACTGGAAACCTAGAAAGATAGAGTTTAGAGATTCTAGATGTGCAAATAGCAGCCAAAGATGTAAAAGAACCTCAGAGTAACTCTATGGCAAGATGTGCAAAACCCCTCTGTACAAAGTTTTAAAAATTCTCAAAGACTTGAATGAATGGAAAGATACACAATATCAACAGACTTGTGAAACTGATTGCTAAATACGTTAATTTTATGCAACTTATAACTTGAATGTTTCCAGTTAAAATTCAAACTAGATTTTTCTAGATTCTTGGGTTGATTCTAATTTATATAAGGTGAAGTGAAGAATCAAGAACACCAGGAAAAATTTGAAAAGGAAATTAAACGTAAGAGGATTCCCCCCACATCACCATAGCAAGAACTTCATCAAACCAAGAGAGAGTGTTAGTACCAGAGAGACGAATGGAGTCTCAGAAGGGGCCCACGTGTGCATGGAAAGCTGTGTGTGGCAGAGATGTTATTTCAAATCAGTGAAGAAAGAAGGACTTTTAGAAGCCGCATTGGAACAACAGGATATCCATATGGAAAAAAATAAATTAGATGTCTACATAAAATCATATTTAAATGGATTAGAAGCCTCCATATGAAAAAGCATGACTTTAAAGGTTTTGGAAGAAAATAAATGAAAATGTTCTTATGATTTCAGGCTAGGAAATGATTTGTTAAACACAACACCAGAAGCACAAACCATAAATAAAAAGACTGGTACCTTTGATTGCATTAAAATATATTTAAAAACCTTTGTACATGAAAGATTTCATAAACAAAGTGGAAAATACAAATCTTAAAATGAGAGAAGGAATTTGGCATGCACATAACCAAGAAAGGATTTGGCCCAGAATTGATAAACAGCTCTAATGGAGAAGATCAAAGGATATGAAATGGGTAACCCTCCAAAAAGGACATCAGTGACCTCAGGACATATGTCACAAATATGGTATAAATTACACAAAAAGGATCCACTAGTTCACATTCAGTAGATGGGCAAAAATGAAATAAAAGCCACTAGGCTAAGCTCTACCGAGGAGAGCATAAATGGGTGCGTGCACTTGGGGGGCCAGATGGCGGCATCTAGCACGGCAGTGCTGAGCCAGGGAGCTTGCTCACCCCCAGCCTGTCTGCACCACGGCTTACGCACAGAAAGGCGGGAAGGAAGCACAAATGCAGACAGGAGTTCTGGCTGGTGGAAGACCACCCAGTATCAGTAATGTTACTTTCTCAGAGATAAACTGTACACTGATGTGTTCAAGCCCATCATCTTCTGTACTTATTTTTGTATACCTAAAAATATCCTGATCAAAATTTAGGAAAAGTGGGCGAGGATTCTGGGGAAAAGGCCCGGACACACGACTGGTGACTGTCAATCAGCACGGACATTTCCAAGGGCATGGAAAAGCCTCGCAAAGCGCCATTCTTTTTAACTTCCTGGATGAACAAAGATGACAAAGGTTTGGGAGTAAGGGAGACAGGCACCCTCAAACAGTGCAGGTGGGAACAGAGGTCTAGGACACCTCTTGGAGGTAATTTTGTTACTTCCAAGTTAACAAGATTGGAAAGCACCCCTTATTGCTTCCAGGGATATATTCTAAGAAATCAACTGAACCCAGGCGCTTAATCACTGAGCTCCATTCACAGCCCTTTTCCTTTTATGTTTTGACACAGGATCTTGTTAAGTCACTTAGGGCTTGGTTTGATTGATGAGGCTGGCCTTGAGTTTGGGATCCTTCTGCCTCAGCCTCCCAAGTTGTTTAAAACAAAAGTTTATTTATTTACAGTGAAGTACATCACAATAATAGCAGCTTTGTTTGCAATATTAGTAATTTAAAAAGAACCTAAATAACACTAATTGGTTCTAATGGGTGGTACAACTGCACAATAAAATATTAGACAGCCAACTATAAGATGATGCTGAAATTTTTAAAATGTGGAACTGCTTGCAAAGTGTAAACTAACATAAAGTAGGGTGTCAGTATGAAGAGTAAATCATTAAAAATACCTATCTGTGCATGGAAGTCGATACAGTAAAACGCTAATGGAAGTGACTTCTGGATGGATTAATAGGTGACTTCACCATCTTCTACAGTTGTCTTTCCTGAAAGTGTTGGATGTGTGCTGTGTGTATAATTATTATTGCAGTGGAAGAGGTTGTCCCTTGCTGAAGTAATTTAAAGAGGCCGGATGATAAACTTCTAGGATAGCCAGGGAGACAAGCTCTGCAGAATTATGCCATTCCTATGAAATCTAACCAGTCTCATGATCCCAGCATCTGGCCCAGAGTGAGCGCCGGACTTCGTCGGTGACGTCACCACGGACAGGCTGGGCCTGGCGGGCAGCTGCCGACCCTCTCTGAATCTGGTCTCGCCTCCGTAAAATGGGCATAACCAGCTTCAAGGCCTGAAGCCGGCTTCGTTTTGAGGGTCAACGCCTGTCACGCGTGTAGCGCGGTTTGCAAAGCCGCAAGCGCGGGGCGTTCCGCGGGGATTGTTGTCGCCGCAGCCCAGCCGCATCGGCGACGCTAGCTCTGGGCGCTGGGGGGCGGGGACTGGGGCTCGGACGGGGGCGCCCCGGCCACCGGGGGCCAGGCAGGGCGCGCCGCCCGCTTCCGCCGCCCGCGGGGGATTCCCCGGGGCCAGCGCGCAGGGAAGTCCCCGGGCGCGGGGTACAAGAGGCGGCGCGGCGCGAGCGCGCCACTGGCCGGCACCCGAGGCGGCGGCGCAGCGCTCCAGCCATGTCGCGCGGCCTCCAGCTCCTGCTCCTGAGCTGCGGTAGGGCCCGAGCGCCGGTCGCCCCCTGCCTCCTCGCGACACCCGCTCTCGTCGCTGGCTCACGGCTCTCTCTCTCTCTCTCTCTTGCAGCCTGCAGCCTGGCGCCCGCGACGCGGGAGGTGAAGGTGGCGTGTTCCGAGACTGTGGACCTGCCCTGCACCGCCCCCTGGGACCCGCAGGTCTCCTACGCGGTCTCCTGGGCCAAGGTAAGCGCCCGTGCCGCAGCCCGGGGTGCAGGCGGGTGGGCTGGCTACCCCCTGGGGGGGGAGTCGGGGCGTCTCCGGAGGCTGCACCTGGAGGACCCCGTCCTTCTGACACGCCCTCCCGTCCTCCTCCAGCCTCAGCCGCATCCGGCTCCAAGGCAGACTTGGGTTTGGTTCCCCCAAGACCTCAACCCTCTGTCTGCCCCTAAACGTGGCCCAGGTGGCACATCCCAGTGAGATATTTTGGAAGGACAGGGAACCTCTCATTGGGCCTCGATTCTGGGGCCACCTGTGGTTGTGGCCGGTACACGAAGGAAGCAACAAGGGCCTGGGTTTGGGCATTGGACAGGAGCAATGTCCCCAGAGTCCTGATTTCGTGTGTCTTGTGACTGTGATGACCACAGACACGGGAGGAGGAGGGGCGGTTTGACAAGAAGGACTCAGACAGTCAGAAGTGACTTAGCTGTTTCATGGGCTGTGTGTGGCATTGGTGGTCACCCCCTTTCTGGGTTATCCTGAGCCTCCTTCCCCAGCCTTTCTGCAGCTGGGAGACGGCCAAGCCAGGAGGGCATGCCAGGGTGCAGGAGCCAGCGCCCTCATGGTAACAACGTGTGGCTGCCCACTGTGAGAGAATTGAGTTGTGGGAGGCTTTTAAAAGGTTTTCTTTCAACTAGAACAGTCTCAGATTCTAAGACGCCATTCCCGTGGCTTTTGAAAGCCCAGCAGATGCCATTTCATCATGCTGGTCCTTTGCTCCCCTTCCTGAAGTGGGGTGTCTGCCACCATCGTGCCTCCATTTTAAGCCAAATGAATGTGATATCCCAGCAAGCTCTCTGGCTCTCTCTGATTTGCTGTCTTACCTTGGGAGGAAATCTCTGTGTGTTTGTTGTTTTCCACAAAATGCAGGGCCTTCCTTGGCCCACCGTAAAAGGTACTATGAGAACCTACACATGAGACTGGCCATTAAATGATGCAAGGCAGCACAGGAATTGTGTGTTTGTGTATGTGTGTGTGTGTGTGTGTGTATACACGCCATGTTCTCTCCTATCTAGATTGTCAGTTCCCTGGGGACAACACTACACCATAGCTTTTGTGCATTCTGTGCCGTACCCAGCATTTGCCCTGTTAAGTGCAAAGGTGCTCAGTGAACTAGCGGAGATGGTGCTGCCGTCTGGGGCACTGTACTGTGCACTGTGAGATCAGAGAACACAATTCCAAAATTGTCTGTATAGTCAAAAAAATGGCAATGAAACAAAATACTATAGAAACTATTATTTGAGTGCTGGCCATATGCCAGGCTCTGAGGTAAATAGTAACATGTTGTTCATTCCTATCCTTCCAATACAGACTTAGGAGGTCAGTACTATTACTGCTCCTACAGGTGCACAGTACAGGTGAGGCAACTGAGCCCAGAGGACAGAAATGACTTGCTCACGATCACACTGTCACACTGCTTGCTCAGTGGTGGAGTTGATTTGAACAAAGCATTCTGAGTCCAAATCCTGGGCTGTCAGAAGTCGGCCCTGATATCTCTGTCTTCTACCTTAATTACTTAAGGTAAAGAAAATAAAAATGTCCCGGGGCTAACCAGGCATGGACTTAGTCATCTCAAAGAAGGAGGAAAACATGAAACCACTGTCCCTTCCAGAGAGTAATTAAAAAAAGAAAACATTATTAATATCCCCAGGGGAGTAATTAAAAAGTACTCGTGAGCCGAGTAGATGAAATTTCAGACTGTGGAGTTCAAACAGTTGTCAAGTTAAATCTTCTTGCTCAGGGTCGTTTGGAATGGTTCAGTAAACCATAGCAATTAACCTTTGACTTCTTGGATGTCAGCTGATGATGTAACTCTATATGTATTGGACACACAGTTCTTGCAAGATTTAGCCTGAAGGTCTCTCAAAACTTTGTCCAAAAAAAAAAAAAAAAAGCAGTAGTCTCTAGGCATTCTGGGTTTTCCCTCCCCTTGGCCCATGGAATAGGTTCACTGAAGAAGCACATCATGGTTATTTTTGAGCCCTAAACTGTGGCTGGAAGAGCCGTGTTGTGCCAGTGAACTAATCAGGAGCCTTGGAAGTGATGTGTTATTCCTCAAGTGCTTTTTCCGCAGGCCTGAGCGTATTGTGTGGCTATTTGTTATTTTTCAACCCTTTTGCATTGATTGCACTTGTACAATAGAAATGGATAGAGCATTCTGGAAACCAGGCTGATGGTGAAATACTGAAAGACTTCATTTTACACAAGATTAGGCATCTTGTTGCTTTTCTACAGCTTTCTGGTAAAGTGTTTCAGTGAAGGGGAGGGGTACCTGTAAAGTGGGGAGGGTAGCCCTGGAGCCAGGCCCGGCTAAGCTCCTGTGGCTTCCCTCCACCTCGCTGTCCTGGCTTCTGACCTGGGAGTGGGCTGTGGGTGGGGCAGGTGCAGCAGCCTCCCCCCACCCCCACTGTCTGCCAGATTCTTCACATTCTTGCAGGCCTTCTGCAGATCACAGTGATGGCTGTGGTGACTCATAATTTAAAACTCCATTCACTCCTCTGTCCTCAGGCACCAGAGAGCATCCTGTCACTGTCCAGTTGGCACTGATGACTTGTGGTTAACAAAGGACCCATGTAAACCATCTGCTTTTTGTTTTTTGGGTTTTTTTTTTTTTTTAATCATTTGCCTTTTACCCCAAACTCCAAGCAGACGGTATCCAATTAGTGTTTGTAACATTAGGATGAGTTGGGAAAGAACAGCGCCTGTTTTATTCTTTTATTCTCTGTTTCCGAGATGCAATGAGAGAGGTCAGAGGGCATCAGTACGGACACACACAGGAGGTCAGAGGCAAAGCCCAAGGTGGACAATGTTAGTCCAGCTCCCGTTAGCTCGGTTTTCCTTCCTATGGGCTGCAGGCCTCCTCTCTGGGATCCCCAAAGGGGATCATCCCTTCCTTTCATGTATCTTAGAAAGCAGTATGGGTGATTGAGAAGAATTAGAAAAATTAATAAATTATATCCACAGGGATCGTAGTTCAATTTAGCCTTTAAAGTTCTACTAGATTATGGTTCTATGGGGAGGTATTTTGAGAACATATGCAAATAGACTTTGATCCATCGCTCTTTGTTTGAATTCTGGAATAAGAGGGCATAGCACCTCACCGTGTCTGCGGGAGGAAGACCCTGCATGGGAAGGCTGCGCCCGTGCTCCATGCTGGGGGGCACGGCCCTGGCTTCGCTAACGAAGCTGTACTCCTTGGAGAGAGAGGACAGTGCTGGACGGAGGCTTTGGGCACGGTCGAAGTCCTCTGCTAATAATAATGAACGTGCACTTAGGGGGAGGTGCAGTGCCATCTCGTGTCATGTGGAGGAGCCCTGAGGACCTGTAATGATACAAAGCGAAAGAGGATATCCAGTGTCGTCTCTGGGAGATGCTGTGGGGGTGAGGACAGTCATGTGTCACAAGACGAGTGTCTTATTTAGATGATTTCCAAAGGAAGGGGGAAAGAGGAAGCAAGATTGTGATTTCAGAGAATAGGTCAGGCTTGAACTTCAGCAGATCTGGAAGAATCCCGCTGCGGAAGACCATGCACCCACCCGGGGAGTGTTCTATTTCTGACATTCATGTTAAGGGAACTGTTGGGCAGCAGGTTAATGGCTTGCGCGATGCTACTTCAGGGACAGTCACCATGCAGATCTCTCTTGTCCTTGACTCGTTAGGAAGCTATCTTCCCTGTATGTCGATGAACTCCTGTTGAGTGGACTTAGATTTTCTGTCTCGACCATCTTGTGTGATAATGACCTAAAGGGCGCGGGCGCTGAGGACAGGGATTGCTGTAGGAGGGGCTGGAGTTGAGGAACGGTTGGGGCCGATGTCATCAGCCACTGACTCTGATGGACCCGCAGAGGAGCCAACACATGCCACTTAGTGCACTTCTTCATTTTAGAATGCCATCTGTCAAAACTGGACTTAAGACTATGTTTCGACATCAAATAGAGGTCGAAACTGAAGGAAAACTGAAGTGTGTAAACAATGTATGCACTAGAATCACAGAAAATCAGGCCATCCCCATGGGTGCCTGGGCTCTCGGCCTGATGGAATCACTCGAAAGGGTTCTGTCTTAGGTCAGACTATGAAAGACATAAATTTGTTTCTCTTATATGTATACTTTTATTATTTAGCAAATCTTTGTAGGTCCCCCACGTGTGCCAAGTCCTGGGGCTGGCATTGGCCACCCCAAGACTGGCAGAATTGTGCCAGAGGAGCATCTTGAACAAAGGCATGGACATGGGAATGCATGCGGTCTTTTGGAGCCCAGTGGGGTCCCTGGTGATCTAGAAGGGAGAATGACACAGCTGATGGCTGAGAGATCAGGTTAGAAAGTAGGCTGGGGACAGATTGTGAGGGACCTTGAATGACCAACTATATAGTGCCTTGAACTTTCTCCTCTCAGCAGTAAGAAGCCATTGAAGGATTTTAAGTGAAGAGAATGATACGAGGCAAACTCTATTTGGAGAAACGCGTATTTCTCAGGGCAGTGGGCAGGAGTTCACCCAGAGGAGTCTCAGGGGCAGTTCCGTTCGGTCAATGCCGTGATGTTCCCTTTAGGTTAATTCAAATTCAGACTCAGATACACCTTGGAACGTCCTTCTGTCTTGGGCTTTTCTTTGTCACTGGTCCTATCTGTGCGGATCTGCAGAGGCTTCCTCAAAGCCGGTGGAGGGAGTCTAACCAGGTCCTTTGAGAATGGTGGCCCTTTGGATGGTGGTAGGTCTGAGTCAAATAGCTAAAATCTTTCCGCTTAAAAGAGGGTAGGAAAGAAGCCGGGGAGCCAAGGGTGAAATAGAAAAACCAAACCCCGCTTGTTTTCCATGAATATAAGGAGGAACCTAAATCACATGAGGACTGGATTGTCCCAGTTTCGTTCTTGGTTCTGTCACCACACAAAAAGGGGGAAGTTTGCAGGAGGTGACAGTGACGTAGGGGAAGGTTTTATGTAGGGCAGGAGTAAAAACAGATCCATTACC